CAGCAAAAGTCTGACTGTCGTTACAGATTTTTCCTTCCTTCTAATGGAAGTGTAAGCAGACTCCAGAAAGTTCTTGGAAAGTGGAATTAAAAGATAAGGTTATTGTAGTCCCAGAAACTTGAAATTCTTCTGTATGAGAAGCTTATACAAAGTGTATATTGTAAATAAAATAATAAACTGCTTGTTTATTTCAGTTATTTTTTTAATATCAAAATAAAATTAATGGCATTTTCTGTGACCTTTGGAGCACCTTTGTACAGGTAGACTCTCCATTTGTCGCATGATCTGCTAGTGTATATGAGGGATTTTCAAAGACTTTGGCAGTATTCCTAAGCGAACAACAAAAGATGTTAGGGAGAGCCACATTTTTCTTAATTCTTATCCCAGTAATAATAATAATAATAATAATAATAATAATAATAATAATAATAGTAAAGTCTGTTTTAACACTGTTCTGATCCATCATTTTAAAGTGTCATTTGTATGTTAAACTAGTTTTTTAAATTGAAATGTAATTTAATTTCAGCGTGGCTTTGTGACTGGTGGTGCGGATAAATCTGTCAAATTTTGGGATTTTGAATTGGTAAAAGATGAAAACAGTACCCAGAAAAGGTGAGCAGACATTCCCTGTGCCCTTTTAGGAGTGAGAATGAGAGCCATTGGATGGCCTGTTGGCATGTGGATCTTTGTCGTGCCTAGAGTGCTTGGAAGTGTCCGTTTTTGGAGCACTCATTTTTATTTCTCTTGATGCTTTCTGCGATACTAGACTTTCCGTGAAGCAAACCCGGACCTTGCAGCTGGATGAGGATGTTCTGTGTGTCCGTTTCTCTCCCAATCAGAAGCTGTTGGCTGTGTCTTTGCTGGACTGCACTGTGAAGATTTTCTATGTTGACACTTTGAAGGTAGGGTGGCGATGCCTGGGGATACATTCTTTATTTCTGACCAGTTTAAGAAATTGAGTTGAGACCATAAAAGTAACCTTGACTGTACTCAACAAAAATACACATTTAAAGGTTTGTGTGTCAATGAAAAGATTTTAAGTGGATGTGGAAAACTAGATATTTAAAAGAACTGTTGTGATATGTGTCATTTATATCGCATACATTTGAAAAATTTTCTGGATAGAAAAGCTGTCAGAGCTAGTAATTTTCCTAGACAGCGGCTTCACAGCTGGCTGTGAATAATGTGGGTTGTGTTAAACGTTATTGAGCCCTAAGGATTGGTAGATTGGATTGTACCTGGGAATATTTTTGTGAAACTAATTCTCTGAAACATTTCCTACTAAGAGTTTCAGAGAACCTCTCTGTGCCATCCTCTGAGTAAGGCAGCCACACAGCACACTCTTCTGGCAAGTTCAGGCAGGAGCTGTGGAGTGGGGCGAGTCCTCCTGACAAACTACCTTCATTGGGTTGTCACCTTTGCAGATACAGACATGAAGCAGTCCTCAAGTATGTTTAGTGTATTTTGAAGCTAGATTTCAGTTGTGTAAGAATTTATGACTATTTTATTGATAGGAATGAGTTATAAATATATTTTTTTCTTTTTGATCTTTAGTTTTTCCTCTCACTGTATGGACACAAACTGCCTGTTATCTGCATGGACATCTCTTATGTAAGTAGAGTTTAAATGCTAAGGTGTCTTTTCTCTTACTTCCTGGCTTGAGATCTTCATTTTGGAATATTTCAATTCTGTTCTATATTCAATTTTCTTTCCAAAACGTCTCACAATTAATTCATGAAAAATGTGTTACTTTAAGAATTTCCTATTGTGGCTCTCTGTAAATGTTATAATTGGTAAGAACCCTAAAATCTGAAAAGTGTATTTTGTGTGTTTTTACTTCTATGATATATTATTTTCAAATTTCTATCCATTTTTTTGAAAGACAGTATTGCTGCTGTTGTCTGCTGCTTCATTAGCCGGATTGCCATAATGGCTTTGGCTGACCAGGCAGAAGCCCTTGGTCAGAAATTCGATCCAGGGCTCCTACAGGGATGGGAGGCATCTAGCCACTGGAGCCTTCACCTGCCAGCGTCTGCATGAGCAGGAAAGCAGAACCCAGCACATCTAGGACTCAAACCCAGGCACTCCAAATTGGAAGTGGCTGTCCCAACTAGTTTCATAGCTGATAATGTGAATATCCTATCCATGAAAGACTAAGAAGAAGTACCCCCTTTTGTTATCAAGGATGGAATTCGGTACCCTCCCTGACTCCCTCACTCCTCACTTGTTTTAATTTGAAAGGCAGAAAGAAGAGGAGAGACAGAGAGTATCTCCCATCTGCTGGTTCACTCCCCAACTGGTCACAGTAGCCAGAGCTTAGCCAGGCCGGAGCCAGCTTCTTCTAGGTCTCCCATGTGAGTACAGGGGCTCACATACTTGGTCATCCTCCACTGCTTTTCCAGCTGCTTTAGCAGACAGCAGGATTGAAAGTGGAGCAGCCAAGACTTGAGCTGGTACCCATATGAGATGCCAAGGCTTCACCTGGAGGTTTAGCCTGTTATGTTACAACACCAGTGCTGGAATTTGGGTTTATATTTAGATTTTTACACTATTTTACATTTTGTATTGTCCTTTGTCCTTTTCTGATCACAATTGTGTTTTTTTTCTTCAGTGTACTGTTAAGACTAGCCATAAGTATTTAAAGAGTAATCTGTGTGAAAGAAATTAAAATTGGCCCAATAGCTATATTGCACTAGCAGGTTTAACATACAGTGTTGAAAATACTCATAGGCATTTGAATTAGGCATCAACACAGAAAAAGCAATAGTGATTGTGAACTGGGATGTAGGACTGACTTTTAAATATCTGATAGGTTCTTTCCTGGCCTCATTCTCCACTTTTCTCTTGTACTCTTCACACAAATTATATAGCAAAGATTAGGGGTTTTTTCTTATTATGTATTTTAAGAAAGAAGATACCCCTGAGATCAAACCAATACTGCTCTGTGGAAATACAAAAAAAATATTGAAGCACGGAGTTCATGCTTCATTTAATAAGGTTTGCAAAGTAGTTCTGTAGGTAAAGGCCAGAATTATGGTGGTAATCTAAGAGAAATGAAATACATTTTTAAATATTTAATATTTTTAAAAGAAATGAGTTGAACATTCTTATATGTCTTGTTAGCTTTTGTCTAGTTTACATAATTGATATTAAGTACTATTTGCTTTTTTTATAGGATGGAGCACTGATAGCGACGGGTTCTGCTGATAGGAATGTAAAAATCTGGGGCTTGGACTTTGGGGACTGCCATAAATCTCTCTTTGCGCATGATGACAGGTACGTATGGTCTGTTGAGAACCCTCTGGTTCAGCTGTCATTTTTCTAGAGCCTCTGTGCCTTTGACTTAGTGTTGTTAGTGACAACCTGAGAGTCCTGTAGTCGGACACTCTAGACTAGCTAGTCAAAAGACACAAGGCTCACATGACTCTTCATGAACCTGAAATTTAATGACGTTTGCGATTTCTGGCCTTCCAGTGTGATGTACCTACAGTTTGTGCCAAAGTCTCACCTCTTCTTCACTGCTGGGAAAGATCGCAAAATTAAGCAGTGGGATGCAGACAAATTTGAACACATACAAACTCTGGAGGTAACTGTGTCTTGCCCAATCTGCTTGCTCAGTACTTAAGTACTGATAAAATGTTTGCCTGCTTATACAAGCATTGTGAATGAGGTATGCTTACTTCCATTTTTGTCTTTTTTTTTCCAGGGACACCACCAGGAAATTTGGTGTTTGGCTGTAAGTCCCAATGGAGACTATGTTGTGTCATCATCCCATGACAAATCTCTGAGGCTGTGGGAGAGAACAAGAGAGCCTCTTATTCTGGAGGAAGAAAAGGAGATGGTAAGAATTTGGGCCTGGGTACAGGTGTGCTGGTGGGCTCCTGACAGCCTGTCCCAGTTGTAGTTTGCCTTCTTGCAGTCAAACTTCATTGAGGCCAAGCCCAAGAACTTGCTGATATTTGTAAGATCAGTGTCAGACAGAAACAAGGATGCCATTATTGGACTGTATTTTGAAAGAAGCCGTTTCTTACTGTCTAAGCTTATAAGATGACAAAGGTGTTTTTTTTCTCAAATTAACTTATCTCTATTTAATGGCAGCAAAGGGAGGCTGAGTATGAGGAGAGTGTGGCCAAAGAAGATCAACCAGCAGTAAGTAAATCTTTTGAGACCCTGACATTTACTGTAACTTTAAGAATTTCAGTGCAGTTATAATTGGAGCTGGATGCCAAAGGTATCGTCAGCTGATAGGAAAGAATGTATGTAGCCTGTTCCGATCAACTGTATGTCCTGGTTTAGCTGGATAAAGTGAGAGATCACTCTGGTATTAAATATTTCCCATTCTGAAATTGTGTTTTGTTTTAGGCAAACTTTAGGGAATTATTAATTCACTTTAAAATAAAAATAACTGAGGAATTGGACATAATCTTTAAATATTTGTAGGATATTCTCATGATAAGGCATATAAAGCAGACAGCATAGTGTTAGACTAAGTACTCAGTGGTAGCTGATACCTGTATCGTCATTTTCCTTCTTTCATAGCCTTATAGGTTACCTCGTTGCTTTGTAACTACAGTCTCAAGGTTGTTCAAGTATGTCTTTGTTTCTGGCAGGTTCCAGGGGAGACTCAAGGTGATAACTACTTTACTGGAAAGAAAACCATTGAAACAGTTAAAGCTGTAAGTTAATAGAGAAGGTGTTATCTCTATTTTTAATAGGATCCTGTATGTACCAAAAAACTCCTTTGTGACAAAAAGTTGATGAAATTTAAAGATGAGGGTCTTAGCCTCTTCATGCTTCCCTTGTAATGGGGGATGGGGAGGGTCCATGTGTGCAGCAGTACATCAGTACGTGGTTTCCTTCTGAAGGTGACACCTTCCAGGCCTTCCTGGGAACTGCTCAGCTAAGGTGTCTCCTTTAGGGTCTCCCCCAAATATGTGACACTTATTCTCTCTGAAGATTGTGAAAAATGTGAAAAGAAGAGCAAAGATACCCTTAAATACTGTTTGGCACGTCTTTATTCTACTGATTCATGCTATTTTGCCGAGTGAATTCGTAGTCAGGCCTTCTGCTTTCAGAGTCCTGGGATGACGGAGTGTGTTGTGATGATTTCTTTATCATTATCTCGTAGGCTGAGAGGATCATGGAGGCTATTGAGTTGTACCGGGAGGAAACTGCAAAAATGAAAGAACACAAAGCCATCTGTAAAGCTGCAGGGAAAGAGGTAAGACAGTCTGTTACATTACACTCCTGGAAATAGTGTGAATAGAATTCTTAAAAGAAAACATTTCTTTCAGGATTTATTAACTCAGATCAGCACATAAGATAAATGCAGGATATTTTCCAATTCAGATGTTAGAAGATATCGAAGCACTATGAGAGGAAGGAAGGCTGGTCACAGTCTGCCAAGGGCCCTTTGGGCATTTATAATACCCTTCCCAAGCCAGGTGAATTTTTTGAACTAAAAATTGACATGCTATATAGATTTACTGAATTTTGAGTCAAGCCTGCATATGCCTTAGCAGGGCCAGACTGAATGACTTCATGGGCTGAGTGTTCTCCACCAGTGATGGGAACAGAAGGATAGAAATTACAGATTGAGGTGGTGATTTTGCTAAGTAAAAATTACATTCCTGCCTCTGTTTGAGGGTTAGGGTAACCATTTCAGATTTGTAGATAAAATCTCTGCCCAGAATTCATTCATAAGTACTAAATATCTTTCAGTTTTTAGTGTCTCCTATTTTCAAATTTATAAAATACTGCCTTGACAAGTACTACCAAAGTCTTATGTTTTCAATTAATAATTTTTTTATAGGTCCCTCTTCCCATGAACCCCATCCTGATGGCTTATGGCAATATTTCTGTGAGTAGAATGTTAAACCATTCCCACTTGGTCATTTAAAACATTAAAACAGGTAAAAGGAAGTAGAGAGGCGTTACAGTTTGGGGATGATGTACTAGAACATCCTTATTATTTGAAGAGAACCACTTGAGCATGACTTCCCAGTCTTTTTGTTCGGACTGGGCTGGCATCCTTTTGTTTTCTATTTCTATATTTCTGTCTTCAAAGCCTTCTGAAGATTAAGTGTACTTTGAAATAATCACTGAAGCAAAACCTGATGTAAATCAATGAGATGAAGAAGAGATGCAGGGAGAGCAATGGTAGAATGCATGGGTAATTTGGGGGTTTTTTTTGAAATGTGAAGTCGCAGAGAGGGCTATCTTATCTTCTCTTCACTGCTTTACTCCCAAATGGGCGCAATAACCATAGCTGAGCCAGACCAAAGCCAGAAGCATTGTTAGGGTCTTCCACATAAATGGTAGGGGTCCAACCACTTGGGCCATTTTCCTGCTGCTGCCTAGGCACATTAGTAGGGAACTGTATTAGTGGAGTAAGTGGGACTTGAACTGCTGCCTATGTGGCATGTTGGCATTAGAGGCAGTGGCTTAACTTGGTGCACTGAAACACTAGCCCCAATGGAATGCATGTTTGTCTAGCAATTAATTACTTAGTATTTTACTTGCCTGTCTCATTGACCATAATAGTCAAGTGATGTAGAGTTGCTTCATTTTTTTTCAGAAGGCAATTGGCCTTACAGGGTAACAGTTGACAAAGGGTCAGAGCTAGACTGTAAACCTAGATCTGCTAACTCTTACGCTTTCTTAGGTCTTGCAAGTCTGTTTATTAATTTAAAATTTGCAAGACAGGCTGCTCACATCTGTCTTTCTTGCCACTGCAGTTGTCAGTGCTGAGCCAGGGCTGTCTTGCTCTCCCACATGGGAGCAGGAAGCCAGCTTTCTGTGTCATCACTTCCCCCTGGAGTCTGTGTTAGCAGGAAGATGTCAGGAGCTAAAGTTGAGTGATCAGTACAGCTACTACACGTGGAAAATCGGTATCTTAACTGTTAGGCAGAATGTCCACCCCAGGTCTGAACATTTTGGCATACTGTTCTCAAATGAGGGTGAGGGGTTTCTCTCCTTCAGGACATGGTAAACAGCCAAGAGTGTCACTAACAGTGTTATCTTTCCTTTATAGCCTTCAGCTTATGTATTGGAGATTTTTAAGGGGATCAAGTCAAGGTGAGTCTGATTTTTCAGTTAACAACATTGGATACTTAATCAAACATGAAGCAAATAAAATTATAATTTTTTGAAGATCAGAATTTTTCAAGTAATTAATAAAAATAAGTAAAAGATTTAGAAGTAGACCATCTGAATAAATATGCCATTCTAATCTTTTTCTTTTTTCTTCAGTGAATTGGAGGAGTCACTACTTGTGCTACCATTCTCTTACGTTCCAGACATTCTTAAGCTCTTTAATGAATTCATCCAGCTGGGCTCTGATGTTGAACTTATATGTAGGTGTCTCTTCTTCCTCCTCAGGTAACTTCCATTTTTAGAGAACACGATGTTTACTCAGCAGCACTGCTCCTTAGCACCTTAGTGAAGCTCTCAGCGTTTGCGATAAAAAATTTCAGTGCTATCTGATGTAAAATATTTGTCATTCTTTGGAAGCAGTCTTTAAATAAGGACAGTGATTACTCTCTGGGTAATATGTAATAGTAACACATTGCTCGGGAACACTTAATGGTGGGCCGCCAGATTATACTCCTCTAAGATCCTGACTCAGATACACTCCTGAGTGTGTCTGGCTCTACTCCATGTACTGAAAGTCAGTTACTAATGGTCACTTCTGTGCTGAATCTTTAAGCTGTCTAGTTTAGCAGCTGGTGGTGGTGTTTCCTCATACCCAAATCGTAAGAACTAGATAATTTCTCCAGGTCCCTACACATGCAAATGGAAATATTAGGTAATATATGGAGGGAAACTACAGAACAGGAAAACAACTTATTGGTTGGCTACATTATTTGGCAGCATGTAATTAAGGAAGATGTATTTTCAGAGGCTTAAGAATTTATTCTTTTTTTTTTTTAAACAGTCATTTTAGTTTTAAGTCAGAGTTACAGAAAGAGGGGGAGAGGCAGAAAAGAGAGATCTACCATCCTCTGGCCCACTCCCCACATGGCCACAATGACCAGAGATGAGTGAACCCAAAGCCAAGAGCTTCCTCCAGGTCTCCCATGTGAGTGCCGGGTCGCGAGGCTTTGAGCCATCCTCTACTGCTTTACCAGGCCATTAGCAGGGAGTTGGAGCAAAAGTAGAACAGCTGGGAATTGAATCAGTGTCCATATTGAATGCCGACGCTACAGGCAGAGCATTAACTATTAACTCCACCATGCTAGCTGCAGAACTTATACTTACCTCTCATTCTCTGACTCCTACTCTCGAGCTATTCTAGCAAGGGACAGCAATGCAGATAAATAGAACATTCCTTAAATACTATCATGATTGCAAAAAGTGTCTTGTGGATACCAAGTATTTAAATGAGATATATTTAGTGACTTTACCAATTAGTTATTTGGTAAATTGGCAACCCTACATTCTTTATATTTTACTAGGAACGTAGTCAGAGAATAATAATGATTTATATCATTTGTTGCCATATATTTGTGGGCAAGTTTTGAAGACATAGATCCATATTCAACAATACTACTCCCTTCTTCTTGCTATGATATGTTATGTATTAATCTCTCCTGTTGAGTCAGGAGACACACCATGAGAATCTCTGGCATATCAAAGGTTAGGTATTAGAGATGCAGGTAAATACAGCAGGTTCACTGAGAATATCTTAGTGCCCTAAGTCAGAATTTCACTCTGATTTCTTTTTTTGCTGTAAGGTATCAGTAGAAATATTAGTAACTTGTCTGTTCTTAAAAGGCTGATTCTGTGAGCTTTCCACAAAATACCATTATCAGAATCTGATCACCTGGTGGAATGCTGATGAGAATTAGCTGTGCATTAAGTTTTAAGAAACTATTTTAAAAACTCATGATGTTGAGTTGAATAGTAGGAAAACTTTAGCCATTTTCACTAAAAGCATTTCTGTTCTCCCATGATAGTGAAATGAATATTTTATAATTATTGCCTTAATATTGTGTATGTTTGCTATTTCTAGAAGGGATAATGTGTTCAGAACCACCTTTTTCTCCTCGTATCTTATTAGGATTCACTTTGGACAAATCACTAGCAACCAAATGCTTGTATCAGTGATAGAACAATTAAAGGAAACAACTATTTCTAAAGTCAGCCAAGTCCGGGTAAGTGACTGTGTAGGTATGTAATACGAGGCAAAGTCCTTGTTTGTATATGAATAGGAAGTAGCAAAATGTGCTATGCCTTGTCTTGTCTTGAGCAGCACCAACTAGAAATCTGAGTGTGAAGTAAGTTTTTGTTGGAACATTTTTTCCCAGTTGCACCAATCTTTTTTATTTATCTATCTATCTATATATATTTTAATTACATTGTATTATGTGACACAGTTCTATAGGCACTGGGATTCCCCCCACCCCTCTCCCAACCCTCCCCCCATGGTGGGCTCCTGCCCCCGCTACGCAACCACAGTTCAGGTTTAGTTGAGATTCCTTCATTGCAAGCATACACCAAGCATAGAGTCCAGCATTTCATTGGTCAAATTCAGCGGCTTCTTGGGGAGACCCTCCCCAGTCCGAAGGCAGAGCCAACAGAGTAGAATCCCAGTCAATTAAAAGCCCCAACATAACATCAGCAACAATATATAACATTAAGGGATAAATTGACAAAGCATTGAGCAACCAATTTGTCAAAATTGAGTGCATGGTCTTAACAACTTCCTGTGACTATTTCAACAATTGAGGTGCGAAACAGTTTTAGGAGGGGTGTGCAGAGACATCTTCCATACCTTGGTGAGGAGTACTTAATCCCCGTGTCCTACCTAGTAAGGTGTGTGTGAGTCCATGCTGACCAAGCCTTCCTTGTTGTTCTCTGCCTATCCATTCCAATGTGAGTGTGTGTGTTTTAAAAATAGAAAACAATAGCACGCAAAGTCTTTAGCAGCAACATGCAAGGCTTTGGCTTCCTTGATTGGCATAGGCTTTCACTCTGCACTGATGTGGAAGAGGATTTATTTAGTCTTTCTTTTTCCTTCTCTAGGATGTTATCGGCTTCAATATGGCTGGTCTTGATTACCTCAAGAGGGAATGTGAGGCAAAAAGCGAAGTTATGTTTTTTGCTGATGCAGCTAGCCAGTTGGAAGAGAAAAAGAGGAAAAGGAAAAAGAGGGAGAAGCTAATTTTAA